GATCTCGTGTCCTATGTATAGCCCTGTTTATGAATAGATTTCCAGATAAAGGTTTGTACTGGCCCCGAATATATTTGTATAATGTTATCATATCCTCTCTGAGGCGCCATTTTTCCAAACTAAAGAGATTTACATTTTTTAAACTTTCTTCGAAACTAAAATGCTTCATTCCTATTATCAATTTTGTAGCTCATCTTTGCACTTTTTCTAGAACCATGATATCCTTCTTTAGAACAGGTGCCCAAAACTGCACAGCATATTCAAAGTGTGGTCTTACCAGTGATTTATAAAGAGTCAAAATTATACTTTTATCCCAAAAATGTATCCCCTTTATTTATACATGACTTTACTGGCCTTAGCAACTGCAGATTGACATTGCATATTGCTGCCTAATTTGTTGTCTATAACAATTCCCAAATCCTTCTCGTGTGTGGTTATTCCTAATTCACTACCATTTAGGGTGTAAATTGCTTGTGCATTCTTGACCTCGAAGTGCATTTCTCTACATTAAATTTCATCTGCCATTTTAGTCCGCAGTCCCCCAATCTATCTAAATCCCTCTGCATCAAAGCATATCCTGCTCACATTTTATTACTTTACTAAGTTTTGTGTCATCTGCAAACACTGAAACATGGCTTTCAATGCCTATTTCAAAATCATTTATAAATATCTTAAATAGAAGCGGTCCCAAAAAAGAACCCTGAGGGACACCACTTACCACTTTTGTTCAGCTTGAAAATTTACCATTAATGACCTGCATGAGTTAGCACCAGCAATCCTGTTCCTGCGTAGGTTAACGCCAGCAATACTGCTACAACTTCAATCAAGCCTTTTTATCATTTGCCCAGTGCTGAATCTCTGGTAAAATACTTTATTTTATCTTAAAGTGGGGGTCTTGCCATCTCCTACCCACCCTGGACCTACGACAAGGCTCCAGGTTCCAGTGGGTGAACCTCTCTTTCCCCAGAGAGTGAAGCAGGAACAGGAACAAGCTCTTACAAGAGCTTAGTGAATGAAGAGCATAGCAATGCCTTGTAGTAGATTCCCTCAGTAAGAGACAGGACTCTAGATTGAGGGTGAAGTAGAACAGAAGGTTTAATGGTAAGGCTGCTTCTTTTATATAGTATATCCTTACAAGATTACTGCCCACGTGGACCTTGTGGGGCACAGGACATGAAATGCACAATCCAATAAAAACAGAGTCTTTACGTTTGAACACACCCAATTACTGTACTCAAACCCTCCCCTCTGCCTCTGATACAATTAACAAAGACAATGGACTAACTCAATTACTACAGGCAGAAAACACACATTTTTACCCAAAACACAGAAAACACCCCAAAACACCACATATCTCCACAAAAGATTTCTTGAATTCTCTGTTGACCGACCGCAAGCATGGCTTTCATGCCCAAAATAGTTCCACAGATTTAGGCTGTGCGGCCGGTCTATTTCCAATACTAAGGTCCGTTCAAATGCATGAATGGGGGCCGTTCATGCAAATACCCAATGTTAAAGTGGCATTCAAATTGTAGAACACTGTTCGACTCCCGTCGAAGTTCCATAGAAGGTAAAGTTCGGCGGTGTTCATGCCATCGCATGTCTGATTCGAGTTCCATGAACTCAATGGCAAAACATCGCTGGCTGGGTTCGGCTAAATAAGATGGCTGCCGCCACATGTTCAACTGTACGAATGGTGGCCACGTCGACTACTTCGGCACTTTGGCTGTTTTTTGGCTGTGTTGCTGCCATGAAAAATAGCCAGGAAAACAGAATTACAGTGAGTATGATGCAAGAAGAAAAAAGAAAATGTGATGGAATGTGATTTTCTTTATGCTTTTTGATATTTATATGTTAGTTTCAAACCCCTAAAATAAGTTTCAAAGAGTTAGCATAGTAAGCATTTTGTTTTTTGTTTTTACAAGTTTGGACTTTTTACCTTCTTTCCTATATCCTAGCCCCTTGCACAAAAACAGCAGTAAAGGGCCTGACAGCTGCACTGACCAGCTGCATATCTTGTGGGCTCTGTGGAAAAAGTGCTAAAACAGAAAAAATCACGTGTTATATGCCTGAATTTCTACTGTTGGACTCTCCAGGAGACAGAGGGAGAATGCAGCAGTGGCAATAATCTTGTTCCAGGTCTAGATTGGCGGCTGATAAGGGGAGCAGGCTTGAGGCCTACAACAGGCCGACTCACAGTACCTGCGGGGAGGCGGCCGACCCCTCGGCATGTTGCTGTATCCCACGCCTGCAGTCTCTCCTTCCATCTCCCCCCCCCCCTGCCGGTGGGGGTTATCCTGGCACACTCTTCTCATGCTGTGGTGATGGATTGCCAGCGATATGCCCTCCACCACAACCAGTGTGCAGAGACCAGCAAGGGCGCCTTGACTGGCGCACCAGCAATGGCGGATGCCACGTGTGACGGTGATCGTCAGGGAGTGCTGGCCGGAGCTCTCTCTAGACAGCATCTTTGAAGCATTCTGGCAGAAGCTACACCTCAGATGCCGCATGCCTGCCCCACAGGCCCTTCTATCTCACTCACCTAGGCAATCATTTCGTTGTCTTCAGGGTCAACCTGCGGCTACCAACTTGCGGAAAAAGCGCCTCAGGCGGAGAAAGCAGAACCAGAGACGGGCTGCAACTAGGCTTGCTCCAGCATCACACAGTGCAAGCCCTAAGATTCCTGAGTGGGCAGCAGACAGAAGAGGTGCACAGAGGGAGCCAGAGAGGCTGCACAGTTTTCCTGACTTCACACCCACCGCACCCAAACTACCGGACCGACAAACCCACACTGCCTTATGGGACTCTGTCTTGCCTGTAGCAGGTATTGGCTGACTTTGGCCCAAACATGGCCTTGCTTGTTTAGCCTAACTGCTCGATTTCCACTCTGCTTGATACATGTATGTTTTTTGTTTTTTTTTACCTCCTGGCAGAGGACACAGCGGGCTATTTAATGCTGAGCATTGTTGTTATGCCATACAATGTTATGCCATACAATTGTACTACTATGCCTTTTGAATTGCTTGCTATAGCTGTTGTGGCTCTGCAAGTCTGTTTGTAACTACAAGCACAACAAAAATAAAGAATTAAAAAAACAAAACAGTAAAGTCCTAATTAAATACCATCCATACTGCTGATCTGCCCAGTAACAGCAGGAAAGTCCAAACTGCTCACCCATCTGTTACTATCCTCTCTATACATTAACACCAGGTGTAACTATCCGATTAGATAACTAATTGGATACTAATTGGACTAATTGGATAAATTAACTAATTGGACTAAATTAACTAATTAGATATTAGTTTAAAAAACCTATATATTTGGATATGTAATAGAGATATTTGGAGAAGTCATTGTGAACAAATTGTGTCTTATTCTGAGTCTGTGCCTGTTCATGGTGGTCTCTTAACAGCGCTGAAAGGAAAGAGATTATAGGACAAACAAGAGATGTCTAAATTAAAGGAACACTATAGTCACCTAAATTACTTTAGCTAAATAAAGCAGTTTTAGTGTATAGATTATTCACCTGCAATTTCACTGCTCAATTCACTGCCATTTAGGAGTTAAATCACTTTGTTTCTGTTTATGCAGCCCTAGCCACACCTCCCCTGGCTATGATTGACAGAGCCTGCATGAAAAACAAACTGGTTTCACTTTTAAACAGATGTAATTTACCCTAAATAATTGTATATCAATCTCTAAATTGAACTTAAATCACATACATGAGGCTCTTGCAGGGTCTAGCAAGCTATTAACATAGCAGGGGATAAGAAAATCTTAATTAAACAGAACTTGCAATAAGGAAAGCCTAAATAGGGCTCTCTTTACAGGAAGTGTTTATGGAAGGTTGTGCAAGTCACATGCAGGGAGGTGTGACTAAGGTTCATAAACACAGAGATTTAACCCCTAAATGGCAGAGGATTGAGCAGTGAGGCTGCAGGGGCATGTTCCATACACCAAAACTGCTTCATTAAGCTAAAGTTGTTCAGGTGACTATAGTGTCCCTTTACATTAAAAATCCATGGCAAAAAAGTGATCAATTATATAAAGAGGTCTTTATTTTATTCTTACAAAGTGCTTACATTAGTCAAGTGGGAGCTAACCCTCTAGTGATTTGACTCTAGTGATTTGAGAACTACATTACATGTGATTGTCAAGCAGACTTATAGGCACCAAAACAACTTCAGCTTGCAATCTCAGTGGTCAATTCTCTGACATTTAGGAGTTGAATCACTTCTGCCCATTGGAGTGGTCTGGATGCCATCTCCCACTACTCTTAACCCTGCAAGTGTAATTATTGCAGTTTTTTTTTGTGAACTGCAATAATTACCTTGCAGGGTTAACTCCTCCTCTTGTTGCTTTCTACTAGACAGCCACTAGAGGGCGCTTTCTCCTTCATAGCACAGAAAACTTGTGCTAGAGCGTTGCTGGACGTCCTCATGCTGTGCGAGGACCTCCAGCGTCGCTCATTTCCCCATAGGAAAGCACTAAAAAGCATTTTCAATGCTTTCCTATGGGGAGCTCTAATGCGCATGCGTGGCATTGCCACGCATGCACATTAGGTCTCTCCAGCCAGTGGGCGGGATCAGTCTCATCCACCGGCCGACGTAATCACTGGGAGGAGCAGCAGCGGTGGAAGAAGCAGCGACGTGGAACATGTCGCTGCCTCTGGTAAGTAACTGAAAGGGTTTTCATCCCTTCAGTAACCGGGGATTGGGGGGTGGGAGGGAGAGGGGACCTGCAGTGCCAGGAAAACGGATTGTTTTCCTGGCACTGGAGTTTCCCTTTAATGTGTTGCACAGTCAGTTTAATCTCAAATGTATTTCCTGCTGTGTTATTAGCCTTCTAAACCTTGCAGGAGCCTTTGGGGAAGGGGGATACAAACTTCTAAATCAAGTTAACTTCTGATTTAAATATTATTTCGTGCAGGCTGTGTGAGTCACAGCCAGGGTTGTGGCTACTGCAACACAAACAAAAATATAAGTGATTTGACTCCTAAATGGTGGAGAATTGATCAGTGAAACTCCAGGGGCATGATCTATACATCCAAAACGCTTCATTTGAATTGTGAGTAGGATCATGGAAATTCTAACCAACCAACACAAATATTATGGGGGGCATTTTCCAAGATGTTTTGTTCTAAAAAGGTAATCTAAACTACCAAAAGTGGGGTTATCACCAGTGCATGCACTTCCCATTGATAACTCCATTTGTACCCCTTTTTAGAACTGAACAGTTTGATAAATCCACCAATGTATTTAGGGTAGCAGGTGTCTTGCTTGCAGCAGTTCATGTCATCAAAAAGGGTGCTCTATTAAGTGATAACTGTGCTTGCCGTGAAGGGGTTGAAGAATTGTGAGACTGAAGAAGTCATTATAAGCAGGCCCGGACTGGACATCGGGCACACTGGGCAAAAGCCTGGTGGGCCGCGGTGGCCATGGACCAAGGCCGGCAGGGGAGATCACAGGATCTCCCCGGTTGGTCTATGCAGGGCCCCCGCTATCCGAGCGTTGGCCCCTCTGTGTTCCATGGCGGGCCGGTCGGGAAATCAAAGATCTCCCTCACCGGCCCACATGTAGTGTAGACAGGAGAGGAAACCGGAGGAGCTCTATCTTGCAGCTCTGCTGGGTTCCTCTAGCATGATTTGGAGCATTGCCATAGCTAGAGTTCACTCACCACTAGCACCACAAGGGATGGCAGCACGGTCCCCCCTCCCAGGCTAAAGGTAAGAAGGGAGGGGTTATATAATCAATGCTTCTTTCTTTCTTTATTTTTAAATTAATATATAGATAATAATCTGCCTCCCCAATCCCTACAAACATATTCACACACCAGCACCCTCACTCACATACACACACTGTACCCCTGACACACACTGCACCCTTGGCACTCACAGCACCCTATCTACACACACTGCACCCCTTAAAATCACAGCACCCTCACTCTCACCCACATACACTGCACCCTCACATGCACATAGCACCCTCACTCAAACACAGCACCCTCACACACACTGCACCATACACTCTGCACCCCTCACACACACTGCACCCTTACCCACACAGCACCCTCACACACACATTGCAGCCCTCTTGCACACACACTACACCCCTTACACACGCGCACATCATCCTCTTGCACACACACTACACCCCTTACACACACACACACCACCCTCACACACAGACTGCACCCTCACACGCTGCACAATACTCTTTCCTGGCATTTTTGTCTCCTGGTATCCCATCTATGGAGCACTAGAGATAAGCAAAATATAATTTCAAGCAAACACAGTGCAAGCATGTTATTAAATTTGCTTGCGCTGTGCAGATCAAATACAGGGCCTTTTTCTCATGCTATAGCTTTTCAGCAGAGCTCTGCACATGGCGTTCCCTGGAAGAGCATTGAACCAACATGCTTACTTTGTGATGGGGCTTGCTTGTAATTAGTGATGACAAAACAAACCATATCTGGCACCGCCCTCTTTTAGTGGGCCGCTGTAATTAAAAAATGCCCAGGCCGAATTTTCTTCCCAGTCTGGACCTGATTATAAGTCACATTTTCATTTAAATTTCAGCAAGCCACTTGAATCATTTGTTGTGTTCAGCTATTTCAATTGTTGTTTGTTTGATTTGTTCATGCAAACAGCTGAAAGTCTGTACCTTTTGACAATAAACTTGATTTTCAATGGGAGTTGAATAATTTTGATTAAAACTGTACTTCAAGATATTTCCACCTACTCCACTGACAATGTGCATGTTAGTTTTCCTACGTATTTCCTGAGTTGACCATTTGTAACACTCATTACACCAACAAGCTCAAGTAGCCCACCATGATCAGAGATAGTTTATGTTCATAACTCTATATCTTCTGTTGGATAATCATTCCAAATTTAACAAAAGATTCAAACATGTATTACTTTGATTATTATTAGATTAGGCTTTGCTTTATTTACACTACTACTAATTCTACTTATAATTATAATGGAAAATGTCAACATACTGATGTGACTTGCATTATATTTAAAATGTAGAATTAATGTTGATAAGGAGGGTAAAAATACATATTTTCTTAATGTATGTGATTGATATTTGTATAAACTAACAGGGAATCTGCAGCAATCCCCCAGATATATTTGGTGTATGTATTAAAAAACAGTGTTTTTACATCCAAATCCTAAACAAAAAATAGGCATCAGAATATGCACTAATCACCGTTTTTACTACAATCTGGCAGGATGCACATTCGGAAATGATTGTTCACTTGGTTTTTTTTTGCGAGCTCATCAATTTTAAGTACTATTTGCCCACTGGCAACTAACGATCTAATAGCTAAAAAACCATCAGCAATAAGAATGTTATTTATCTGATGGCTGGGTCCTCTAGGTTGGTACTTGAGATCATGCTCCGCATGAATATTATTATTAGGGCCCCCAACCACTACCAGTGGGTATGGGCTGTGGAGGGCACACTGTTATGTCATACTTATATTTAGTATAGTTTCTTATACTTGTATAATAATAGCCCTCTTCATTGGCAATGGGTGGTTGCAGAGGATGGAGTGATCTTTTCCACCTCTCATCATATTGTTGTCCCCCAACCAATGCCCATTAGTGGGGTCATGGGGGGACTATGCCCCCAACATTATATTACAGGCCCTATTACCAATGGGTGGGGATATGTTAGTGTCTGAGTGGAACAAATTCAGGCCCATTCTGAATTGCAAAATCCAGACATTGTTAAATTGTATGAACAATGTATGAATTCTGCAGTCCAAATTTGGAATTTAGTGAATAACTCTATAAAAGTTTCCTACTTTTTAAAATAATAATTTACTCACATATACAATTTTATGTATGATAAATACATACTACCATTTTTATCAGTGTATCATGATTATGACCATCAATAGGGAATTGTTCATCAAATGTAATGTTGCTATAAATGCTTTGCACTTAATCTTCTTCTGATTGAGAATGTAAAGAGATAACCAGTGAACAGCAAAGACTTTGTCCATTGGAACTTTCATAAACCTTTTTCATATTATATAAATGACTAATACTGGAATGG